TTTTACACATTATGACCATTTTTTCAGAGGCTATGATGGGTTGGCCACAAATGACGTCAGAATGACGTCATGTTCTGTCATTTTCAACCTAAAAAAAGGTTTCACGGGAAGAGCTGTAGGCCTACAGCTTTGAAGATACATAAAATGTTATAGACATTAAAGGTGTAGAATGAACAGGGCTATAAAACTGACATCTCAGTTTTTTATTTTTGGATTTGGACCCCCAAAAATCAAATAAGTATTTGTTGTTTAAATAAAATATCCAAAAAATCCAAAAAGTTTTCTTTTCGAATTTCGAAAAACGGAGTACGTATGATGGAACCCATTGTCGTCTATCCACATACCATATTTGAGATGCATACCTCTTTTTTGGCCAAGTTATGGCGAAAAAACGGTTCAAAAATGATGACGTCAATTTTTCAAACTGAATTTTTAGCAATTCTAGACCACGTAGCGCAAACCAAAGACCTTCATCAGACTCCCCGTGACGAGCTGCATCGAATCGATACATTTTGGGCAAAAATATCAACTTTTACCCGCGCCCCACTCCCCAGTGGCGGTCTCAGCCAACTTCGCCCTAGTGTGTGTGTGTGTGTGTGGGGGCATATGTTACCACCCACCTCTAACTCAAAAACTAAGAGGGCTAAAAAGACGCGGTAAAAAGCAGTCGATAGCTCTCAATGCGTACGTTTGGAAGTATTTCTGTCATTTGTCATGTTAGAGCAATATTGGGGTCAGTGGAGGTCATCAAAGGTCAAAATTTGCCAAATGTCATTATATTTTTCAGAAAACATACATTTAGCTCAGGAACTATGATAGCTAGAAAAGCGCCTGGAAATTCAATCGATAGCTTTTAAACTCTTCTTTTGATAAGGTTATCATCAAAATTTACCTCAGGTCAACGGTTTAGCCTCCAGAGGGCAAAAACTCCAAAAATAGCTGTTTTTACGAAAAGTGTTTTTCGACAATGACTTTTGACTAAAAAAAGCCAGGACATTTCTATTGCCAAAATCGTGTTCCTCTCGCCGAGACGCGTCGAATGAACTATAATTTGACCTTGAAAGGTCAACTTGAAAATTTGACCTCAGGTCAAGGTCATGACCTGACCGGAAAAGGTCATGTCGCATATCAGTCGATGCGTCTCAATAAGACAAACACAATGAGGCCATCCCTAGCGTCCTATCTCTTTCCAATCGAGAGTTATTGGCAAAAATCTGTTTGTAGCCTCAAATGACCTCTGATGACCTTTCTAGAGGCTATCAGCAAAAAAGACACCTTGGTCGTCACGGGTGGTCCAAATCATTGGGATTCTCAAATATTTGGACTGTTCCTATGCGTACACAAGGATCTAGAGGCATTTTCATTTTTCTCCATTGACTTATAATGGTAAGGTCACGCCACTGGCCTGACCCTAGGTCACGGATGTAAAAAATCCGAGATATAAAAATTGTAGGCGCCCATAACATCATGCAATCCACCAAGTTTAAAACCTTTCTGACAAACACTGCAGGCTGGACATGATTGTAAACTTTGTTTGAGGCTTGGTCAGTTAACTTGACCTGGTGACCTGACCTGACATTACCTGGGGTCAAAAATTTCACACGTTGTCCAAAATTGATGTACAAATAGCTACTCCAAGCCGCGGTTTTTATTTACACGCAAAAAACGCGACAGGGTGGTAACATATGCCTCCCCCCCACTGGGGCGAAGGTAACACTTTGACTTGATTTGACTTTGACCTGGCCTTCACCAGAACATAACCTAAACTGGCCCTAAAGGCTGCCTGATCCACATAATCGCATTTTCCATGTAAAATGGACCATAAAACATGCATCACACGACACTTTCATCTTGTGGCCCTCAGTGACTTGACCTCTAGTCTGTGACCTGACTTGGTATCAGTGACCTCAAATATCAAAATATGTGTTTGATTAGCAATTCTCCATCGATGATTCTTAACAACATGCATTTTACTCGATTTTACAACACATTTCTTGAAATGCCTGTAAAAGGTGAAAATGCGACCTTTAGCCTGACCTGTGACGTCATCGGTTGGACCGAGGTCAATGAAATTGGTTCATAAGGTAGTTCTGTGGTTGGGCTATCCAACGCCGTTTGAATTTTGAACATCGGCCGGTAATGTTCCGAGGTCTTCGGAGAGGGAGGGGGGGGGGGGGGCTGAAACGCCCTCTCCCTACGGGTGGTAGGGTCCGCCGATAGCGCTACGGGGCGCGGGTTAATATAAATTTTATTGTCCGCTTTTTTGGTTACAATTGGAACCACTTTGGATAACATGAACTACCTTGCATGAAAACAAATTTCGTGACACAGGATGTGACTTCAATCAAAGGTGACTTCAATCATGCTTAACACCAGCTCTTTGTAACACGTGGGGCATTCCACGATAGATCGTACCACTTTTTTCCAATTTGACACCCTCATCTCTCGGAATTTGACGAGAATTGGTTTCAGGGGTAATCAGGGGCTCTGAATCCACCTGTAACAATTTCAGGCTTATCAGATAAGTATTTTTTGAGTTATGGTGAATAACATTTTTTGGATCTTGCTTTGCAGCGCTAAGTTTGGCGGGCTGTAACTCTAAGACGGATTATTCAAATGCCAAATGTTATATAACATTGAACTTGCAATGAAACAGAGATTAATATGTATTTTTGAAATTTCGAAAAATACGCTATTTTTGATATATGACATATCGAGTTTTCTTTCATTTGTATTTTTTGGACTTTGGGACCAAATTTTTTTGAATTTTTATTTCTTTAAAAAAATATTTGGCTCATTGTTAAGAAGTATGCAAAAAATTAGGAAGGTGTTCTTTCTATAAATGTATTTATTTTACGTCACCATAACGGTTTCGAATAGTGATTTCGGGAGGGGAGCTTACAAATGGCGTGGTAAAGCTGCCTAGTGACATCACGGGCTACTGAAATTTCAATTTAAGTCTGAGTCATCTGAAAAAAGTGAAAAGAGGGTTCATCCAACCCTCTTTCCTATAAGCGCGAGGGTGAAAAAGGCTGTTTGCTTCTGACATTGTTTTGGACGCCAATGACCATAGCTGTCCGAGATGAAAGTTACAGGACGCATACATGGTGTCCTCCAGAGGTCTCACAACTTGTATATCTGTGAATTTTTCAAGGTTACATGAGGTCAGGTCGGTCACGTGACATCACTGTTATAAATCAATGGGGAAATATAAAAACTGTTATTTTGGCGCCGAGAATGATCTAAAACTATCCCACATACATGGTATCGTGATTTCATGCACGCCTTGCAAAGTCCAATGCTTTACTTTTGCATTGTTAACCTTGCGTGACGTCATTTATGACGTCACTAGAGTCGCACGAGTTTTTCGTCAATAACTCCCGATCAAATGGAGCTAGAGAGTCGGGAAAGCCACCAATGGACTCGGGAAGACCTTCCGAATCGAATGATGTGCCATATGATACCCTTTGCCCAGCTTCGTGACCTGAGGGGCTCTGACCTGACCTTGACCCGAGGTCAACTACTTAAGTTGACCTCACCCTAGCAAAAAGTATACCATTCGATGCACCTGAGCTAGGCGAACACAATGATGCCAAAATCGCGGCTCTGCGGCCATTTTTTGCGAAGTTATTTACTAAAAACCGAACCCGTAACTTCAGTCACGTGACCTGACCTCAGACGCTACCGGTTAACCTGAGACCTTAAAATCGGGTACCAATCGCTGCGACTTGTAACGGCACACACGCTCGTTTTTTCAGCGAGGCTCTAGCTCTATTAGAAGCGAAACGGCGTGCTGGGGTCGTATCAACCCCTCCGAAACCCATTTTGTTTGCGGGAAAATGAGGAACTTATAGAAAGAACACCTTTCTAATTTTTTGCATGTCGATTTGCAATGACATGAAGTTTATTTTGAAAAAAATAAAAATGCGAAAAATTTTGGTCCCAAAAGTCATTAGAGGCAAATGAAAAAAGCTTAAGGTTTTTGCTCAAGAATGAAATTTTTTCTTTGGAATTTTTAAATAGTAATATTAACTTTTGATTCATTGCAAGCTTAGTGTTGTTTACTTTTTGTTTGTTGCTTAACCCGTTCTTGAGTTATAGGCCATCAAACTCACCGTTACATACCGAAGTTAAAAAAATATGTATAATGCAATATAACTCAAAAAGTTTTGGTCTGAGAAGTCTGATATTTTGCCAGGCGTCTTTGGGGCCTATGATTACCCCTAGGACCGATTTTCATTAAAATCTGAGAGATGAGGGTGACGGGCCTGGTACGATCTATCGTGGAATGCCGTGTTCCAAGTTATCGCAAAAAATACTGCCACCGACAGGGACTGTTGTACTGGTCCTGTCACCAGTGACTGTTGTATTGGTCCTGTCACCAGTAACTACGGGACTAGTCCTGTCACCAGTGACTGTTGTATTGGTCCTGTCACCAGTAACGGCGGGACTAGTCCTGTCACCGCCAGTGACGACGGGACCAGTCCTGTCCACGCCAGTGACGGCCTGACGTCGTCACGGCAGCGCTGGTCCTGGTGTCGAAAGTGACGCGCTAATGGTGGGAGATCGCCACGGGCCGGTCCGCGCCGGCGTCCGGCTCGCCAACTGTCAATATAGCATTAGCCCACAATTACAACCCATACACTGCGGCGCGATACCGGTGCTGCCGCCAACAGACGAAAGTTAAATGTGTCATTATCATTCTGATTACCGCAGACCAATCAGGTCTAATTTCAGTCCGCGCGCAAACTAAATTAGCATTAAACGAGGTACGGGGATCAGGGATTTCGCGAGTAAAGATGAATCGGTTGAACAAAAACGATCAGCTAAATACGAACATCCTATGTTATTGCTACTATAATATGTTTGAATCCGTGTCTAAGCAGATTGTATAATTAATCCCGTTCCGTAATGTTCATGATGGGAATCCCTATTTCGTCGAACCCATCGATACTCGGCGTCGATACTGCCTAACCGTGTTTGTGTTTGCTGTTCGACAGATTCAGAGGAGGAGGCGGGCTCGGCCACCGCCGACTCCCAGAGCGGCGCCGGTGGTAAAAAGTCGCGGAAGGCGCGGACGGCATTCACTGACCACCAGCTACAAACGCTGGAGAAGAGCTTCGAGCGACAAAAGTACCTGAGCGTCCAGGACAGAATGGAGCTGGCGGCCAAACTCAACCTGACCGATACACAGGTCAAGACCTGGTACCAGAACAGGAGGTGAGTCGCCGGCTAAGCAGCCGTTGACGCCGCGCTGTCCTATCTCAGCGCTGTGATACCGCTGCCGGTCGGCGGGTGCGCCGCGGGCGCTGATACTGCTAACGGCTCCGACGAACAGACCTGGCGCACCGCCCTCTGCCAACACCCCGCCAATGAGCCGCGACGCGACGCGACGATAGCTGCGCGTTCGTCATGGGAGCTCCGCGCGGTCGTCGCACGGCCCGAAAATTGACTCCCAGGGTCGGCCTGATAGATCGCCGGCCAACAGAAGGCATTATTAAATGATAATTACTGGCGGCACACAGCGGCCCGGTTGGAGCGCCGAGCCGTGCCGAAATGCGTTCACGTGGTCTGATCACGGTTTGATCGCGATCATCTCGTCTGATCACGGTCCGAGAGCAGGGCGGCGAGATGGCGATGACGCCCCGTTCCAGGCACCGACGCGCCAGCAACAAGCGCTCCCAACGCTCGGGCTGGGTTCAGGAATTGGATGGGGTGTTCGAACTTATAACCATAGATGTGGGGCAGCCTGTGGCCTCAAATATCTCAGAAAAATGAATGACGTTCCTCCGGCATCGGTGCAGTGTCTCCGGTGTCCCTATGTAGTTCGCGGCCCTTGGGCAGACCTGCCGGGCGCTCAGCGAACGGCTCCGTCCGGCGGCTGGCCGTATGCAGATACCCCGGCGATGTGCATCGCCGGTGAGCGCTGATAACACCCGAGTCGCCACCGAACACCCGCATTATTCAACACCATAATGGAAAAGCCAGGCAATCATACCCCTCAGATCTCTGTCTGCCCGCGTACAGCGTCCATTGAATAGCCCACCCAGGCAGTAACATCGCGTACGGCTGATAGCCGTTGCAATGGCGACTCTTTGCAAACGGAACCGTGTAAGGACAGACCAGTCGGCCTATCGCACGTAGGCGCTCTCGTCCGTGTCGCACAGTACAGCACACCCTTGAACCGAGATCGGCGTCCGTGTGGCACATACATCGGAAATTTCACATCGAGACCCGGCGCATGTCCTCAACCAAGCATGAGGACGCAGTTAGAATTGTTGACATGTATTCTGAAAACTTAACTAGAATCGTCATTAACGAGTGGCGCCGCTGTCAATCTGACGTGCACCATTTCAGCCTTATTCTGTGGTTTTGTTCGTGTCCTTTGGTCTGGTTCGTCATGACTGGCCATTAGGTTGGTAGTAAATATTTTATTATTTTTTATTTTGAAGTCGAATTATCCGTTTCAAAAAATGATTATGGTTTCTAACCACGTAGCGGTGATTTTAAGTGGTTTTGACCAATTAGATCCACTTATGTCAGCCACGTTGCCATAGAACTCGCAGCGGCACCGTTTCAGTCAAAGGCGTGTCGAATGGCGTATCGATTATTGCGATCGGAATGGATTGTTTCGGAGCATGAGTTGGACAGCCTGATTCGGCCAAAACTCCAAAAGACTTTTTATCAACGGGTTTTGGATTGATCTTTGGTTGCAAGACCCTTTATAAATGTGATGCCCATCGACGAATGACTGCTCTTATATCGGAAGTGAGCAATTAAACGGTAATGGAAGACCCAACAGTCAGTTTTGATATATTTTGGTGCATGTCTCGCAAATGCATATCTACATGCTGTGAGAAATTGGACGACTGTTGATCTCATCTCATCGCATTCACGTTATCCAGTTATGTTCGAATGGTGATTTATTTTTGTTGCACCCAGTAGAGCGTCAACGTCATGATATGGTCAGATGACATTGAGGCAGTAAATGTTGCTAAGATCTCTGCTGACGATGCATTTGGTAGTGGACTCCGCGGAAAGCATCTCGGATGGTGGCAGGTGACCTTTTCTGTGGGATACCTTCGGCAATAAAGGGCGCTTTTTACTGGCCCGTCACAGTGATCTGAATACGATCGCTGCGGCCTTATAGTGCGTATTCATGTAGCCAGGGCATAAAAGCGCACGATGGGTGCGATTTGGAGTCGAGCGTCGATTTACACCCGGCGCCATTGTCACACGTCGCTAACGCCGGCACATTAATCAAACTGATCCCGTATTATTCATCACCCGTCAGAATGATTTGCGGCTTTTGCCGGGTTCGCGGCGGCCGGCGGCGGCCGGCTCAGCTCGTGCTGAAGAGAGCCCTACTATGCATTTCAGACCCCATGAGACCCTGTTTTTCAGCAATAATTTCTTCAATTTTTGTCCAATTAGCTTGAAATTTTGGCAGACAAAAATTGGCTCAAGCGCCAATTTTTGTCAATATGGTCTCTTAACAAAATGTCAAAATTTAGAGCACTTGCCGTTGCCTCGTAATGCTAAAATCGGCTCCGTAAATCCGTCAGTGGAGTAGAGGCTATCCGTACGTAGGCGTGACGTCACAAACACGTGACCATTAAGCTCCGCCCTCCCGGCGGACGAGGCGGTGACCTTGGCCGGTCAGTCGGCCGCGTGGAGCGGGCGGGGCAGTAGCTGTCGCACCGGGGCGGCTCGCATGGAACGTAGCTCTGCCGTGCAGTTGTCGTTGCAGCCGTAACTTCGTCGAGCGAGCTAAATAGCGCGCATAAGTAACGCATTAGCTTAAGCCCTCGACTTTGTATTTATCACAAACGTACGTACACCTTATTCAGTCACAAAAAATGTATATTTCCACACAAGATTCGGGGCTTGTGAAAAAACGCACCTAAAAGACGCTGTTGATTTCAAATGCTTGCGTAAAATTATGTATCACGTCAGACTACGTCCAATTTGCAAAATAGAATCACCATTAATAGGATGCAGTTTATGTGTTTGATATATGAAATTTGATTAGAAATGTATGCCGGCGTGATCGATTTATATCATCCCGGTGCAGCATAAGCATTGAACACCTTCAGGACTAATCCATGTTATCATTGACTTAGGTTGAGGAGGTCGCCGGACTAACTTTACCCCCAGATCTTGTGTGTTGAAATGCAAGCATGAAAAGTAAAAGCCTATAGATAGTTACCTCACCATTGAGGGCATACCTACTGTTACCTTAAGTTTTACAAAAAGATACGTGTTTCTTGATGATCGTTCTCGTGTAGTGCACAACGTCCGCCTGCCACATTCCTATTTCTTTCTGTGCACGTCTTAACAATATAACACACACATGACATTCTACCATGCGACACATTACGCTTCTGCCCCACCCGGCGCCCCGCACCGCTTCACGAATCACGAATACGGTCGTCTCGCTGGAGCGATGCCCCAGGCAATCGGCCGTGCCCGAGACTCTTCATCCTACTTTGTTGCTTTCTGCGCCTTCCTCAGAAACATTTATTGACGCTGCCAAATATATCAATATTTTTAGGTCATGCAGAGGCTTACGCATGATCTTATAGGTAATCGGGTAGTGACCTGACCCAGCCTGACGATGAGATAGGTGCAACTCCGGCTTAAATAAGTGTTCAGAGTCCAAGAGTTCATCTATCTTTCCTTCTACGGCCGGTTCCGTTCCAATAGATCCTACCTTGATTCTGATAATTCTAAATATTCTGAGCTGGTTCGACGTTTAAATACCAAAAGAAGGAAAAGACTAAGAGGACATCAAATGCCCTCGAACGGATAATTTTTTGGCTTTCGTCCCGAAGCAACTTTGCCAGCTTCACTTGTCTCCAGTATGTGGTCCCGCTGCGACCTCTCCGCGGTGCTGACACCGACTGAAGCGGCATAGACCCATCGCGGTCACGGCCAGTGGGCGGAGTCAAGTTGAGCACGGCGTAACGTGATTGGCCAGCGCTCCTATTCAATCCGGTGCGGTAGCGAGCGAGCCTCTATCCGGGTGCAAAGACTGATTAACATTACGAGCCAACGACAAGTGCTCTAAATTTTGATAATTTGTTAAGAGACCATATTGACAAAAATTGGCGCTTGAGCTGAAACATCGTCTGCCAAAATTTCAAGCTAATTGGACAAAAATTGAAGAAATTATCGCCGAAAAACAGGGTCTCATGGGGTCTGAAATGCATAGTAGTGACCGGCGAAAGGGCTGGCTGGAGGCAGAATGACCCAGTCACCCGCTGTGCAGCTCTGGCTATTGCACGGCCAGCAGTCAGCAGACCGGTGGCAGGAGCGTGGGTCCCACTCCCGAGAGCCGTTTGCCGAAACCCGTGAGCAGCACACGCTGCAGGAGCAGCCGGCAGCGAGCAGACGGGGCGGGGCGGACCGGCAGCAGGAGGGGTCTCGCCCGGTAGGGGTGAGCCTCATCTAGCCGGGTTACATCATTCACCGGAAGCGCGCCGTCATCTTGCAGCCGCCGCTCGGGACAGGGGCGCCGGATCAATTATTCTGAATCGATGCCGTGTCGGCTGTGTCGGCGGACGGTGCGTGCCCGCTGGCCGGGACCATTCAGCCGCCGGGCCGACTGACAACTGAGCGACGCCACTGACGTGCAGCGTGACCTGACGAGGCCGTGCCCGTATTGTTGGCCAAGTGGAATCATGCCGGAGTGTCTGATTCTGCTGTCGGGGTATTGCTCGGGCAGCACGCCACTTAACGTGTCCTGTAGCCGGAGAGCGAACGGAGCACGGCACCCGCCGGCAACGTGAGCAACGCCAAGTGGAACATACATGCAGAAACTGCATCGGTGCCATTCGCTAACCATGTTGTAATGGATCTGTCCACCGGACTGACTGGGTCGCCAAACGCATATCCAGTAGCCTGATTACTTCAGGTTTCGTTCTCGCTTGTATATGGCTAGTCAAAGGTCTTCACCAACTGGAGAGACCTGCTGAGTTCTGAGGTTCCCGCCGAATAGGGCGGCCGTCGGCATGTTTTCAGCCGTTACCAATCACGTTCGCAAAGTTCCAGCGATATGGGTCAGATATGAACAGATATGGGTTCAGATTAGAGCGATGCAAGTTCCTACCACGAAATAACGGCAATACGGTATAAAGGCGACGAGGCTGATCGGATGTTAGATGCAGTTGGTGTGTGAATGTGTGTTGAAGTGTGAGTGATGGTTGTCAAATGCCATGCAACCTGATGTTTGATGTGTTTTCAACATGCAATATAACCATGCGCCATGTCTTACCCTTCTCCACATCTTCAAACATGGAGCACGCTTGCTTTTCTCGCTCTCCATTCTTACGCCATCAGTAACGTTGACATCCCGATCCTATTCCAGAACAAAGTGGAAGCGTCAGACGGCCGTCGGTCTGGAGCTGCTCAGCGAGGCCGGCAACTACGCGGCCGTTCAGCGGTTGTACGGCACGCCGTACTGGCCAGCGGCGCCTGCCTCCAGTGAGTGCCGCAGGGTCATCCTCCTGAGGAATTAGATCCTGAAGGAGCGGGCGTACTGTGCAAATAGAGCTTAGGTGTTGTGGGAGACCACCCAGACACTAAACCGTGGATTTTTAGCGCTACAACTTTGTTGATCTGCTGGCTTCTCAGGTGTGTCAAGTGTCTGCTGACGACCCGCTGACGTTTCTGCGTCTGTCTCCGTCAGATCTGGACTTTTACTACCGTCAGGCGGCGGCGGCGCTGGCGCAGCGCTCAGTGGCCGTTCCACGGCTGCTGCTGCCGCCGGCCGCCGGCGCCGGGCCGCCAGCCGCGCTCAGCCCCTTCGGCGGCCTCCAGTCGGCGGCCCACTACCTGACAGCGCTCTCAGGCACCTCCAAGTCAGGCGCCGAGCACACATGAGCTGCTGAGACGGTTATCAGTCTAACCCCGACCAAACGGGGAGCGAGTCAGCCCTGGGTCCGTGGTGGGTGAGACACGGCCGCCTCGAGGACCCAACGTTCCTACCAGGGGCGAGAGGGCCCGGCAGTCAGTATCACCGAGCGCGGCCCGCTACTGCGTCACGAGGCCAGCACCAGCGGCAACTCAGGTGTGTGCTCTCACCGGCAACCAAAGACCAAGTCACCCGCTTGACCCCAGCCGCTGAACTCCCGGCCACGGTCGCCTGAAAATAATTCTGCGATATCCGCGACTTTTGTTTCTCCCAGAACCGTTGAACATGTGAGACGCGAATTCGAGGCAGCCGGTGATTATTGGCCGGGTATGCAGTTTAGTTGACCCAGCACCGTATTATATGGAGCGTGTGAAGTGAATGCATAGTATATATGTGTATGTGTCGGGCGCCAAGGCATCTGACAGTGTTTTACGTTTGTGGAAGGTGTATACTTCCCCTGGGGCAATCCCTTGCTATCATAACGTAATTGTTGCAGAGCGCTGTTTGAGCGAGTATTGACAGCGTCAGAGATTCATTCGATTGTGTTAAAGGGGTAAGTAGTTATCTACATGTGAAGCAGAGCCGCTTATATACCAATGTTGTTTGAGGTTCGACATTTCTTGTCAGCGTTCCGTGCATTTACTTATGTATGTATAGGTAAATATGTGTTCAAAGTCTTTTTGTTTGCGAAGTGTACTCATCTTTCAAAGCACTTGTCCTGTTACTGCATTTTTGGACACTGAAGTCTAACGTCAACTTGTGGAGAAAAGTGATGTTTCGGCTAGACGGAATGCCTAAACAAGGATTGGACAACCGTTCAGATGGTGAGAACTGGCTGGTGGGCTGAAATGCCCTCCTGTCAATAAAACCTGAAAAGCTAGGAGAGGTTAATTATGTAACATGTAATTTTATGGTAATTGCATGTTTCAACAGAACAGAAATGTCGAGTGATTGGTAGTTAATTAGTTGGCCATAATACAATATTCATTCGCTATTTAATGTTTGTTCCTTCTAAACTTTATTGTACTGCGAATCTGTATTTCCGTTTCAGATTAACACCGTTCGAAAATGCAACCTTCCTTTTTATCAACTTTCTTGATAGATATCTGATCGGATTCTCTTGTGTACGCTTGTGCAATACGCAGGTTTGTTCAGCCATTCAATTCTAACTGATCTGAATGTATCTGGGCCCAGTAGCGGCGGAACACCTTCAATTAAGGGAAGGGGGTGGGGGGCACTGCCGACTTTTGGTCCCATTCTTTCCATGCAACGCTCATAGGGCTAATGTTAAAATGCCAAAATCAAAGGGGGGCACGGTGTGCCGGTGCCAACCCCGTTCCGCCGCCTATGTCTGGGCCTAGTTAAGCGGTCATATCTTTTTCAGGCATTCGTCGCACTGCGCTCCTAGAATGCAGTAATTTTGAAGCTATTTTGTCTCTTAATTTTAGCTAGTTCGAAATATTTGCTTAAGGTTTAATTAAGTTTACATGTTTTGGTATCAACGGCGGACAATTGCTGTAATTAAATATACCTAGTTGTCCTATTATAGTGGTCCTGTGCCCGGTTGAAATATAACCTGATACCTGGACTTTAAATGTTTCCACGTTCCTAAAGCCGGTAGATTGACGGGCACGGGTCGACGCAGGAGGATTTCATCTGTGAGAAAGCACAGGTCATCACACAGGTCAGGCATGCAGGACGACTTACACTGTCGGCTCATTTTGAGTGCCGAGAGTTGTAGTTTCATTTCTTCGTCAGTTCGTGTAAGAAAACATATACATATAGGGCATGCGTCGTTTGGTGCGTCTTGTTCTATACAAACGTGCAATGTAATTTATATCCCAATAACCTTTCACCCATTGCTTTACGGTTTGTCCTTTAAAAGACAGTCATGCCGCTTGAAAGATACTGAATCCTCATCAGCCTGAACGTCTTACGATTCCCTCACAGACCATAACCACCACTCAAAATATAACTACATACTTTCTTCACAAACCCGACCCATGTGACCCTCCCTGTGACCACACCGAGTCCTGTTGATCCCTCCGGCACCATACCCGACCTCGTGATCCGCTTCATGGCTGGAGTCGAAGCTCATGATCCGCTCCGCAGCCGCGTGTAATGTACCGGCACCAGGGCGCTGGCAGCGCGCACAAATCCGCCGCGCCGCCGCATAATTACATATTCAGTTGGTGACCAAATTGGAGTAAGTACCAAGCGATTTCACCAATCAGTCAGTGACCGACATAGATGGCTCGCGGACGGTCCCAAAATTACCCGGAAGCGCGCGCGCTCGATCGCACCGCGCCACCGTTCATAGCTCCACCTGACCGCATCAGCTGCGTAAAACCGTAAAACGGTACACAACGTCCACCGGCCGTGGAACGACTTTAATAGGAACGACATCATCGAAGTATAATAAGCAGGTTTTGAATGCATTCATAATTTACATTTATTTAAGGCTACAATACACAAATGGGCACACAAGCACAATAGACACATGTCTACACAATACGGCAACGCACATGGAGGACAGAAAAGCAATCACAGTCGTCTTTAAGACAGAATGTACACAAAGCATATTGTTGGTGCTTCCGAACACCAAGTTATATTTTTTTTACAAATTACATCAAACGAATATGCTGAAATTAAAAGAGCTGAGCAAAACATCGCAACGAATTAAACCAACTCCGTTACGCCCAAAGCACCATCCGACTAGCCTCCGATCAACGAAGAAACTGATGGCTTCATTAGATAATGCAGCTGAACATACATTCACTGCAAGTGCTGGTGTTGTCACGGGTCCTTTACCGTTTTCATCAGTTTAAAAGCGCCAGCCGGGTGTAAAAGCTCAGTAGCGTGCGGTGTGGTGTAACTGGCGGACACTTAATGCCTGGCGCACGCTGTGTACACAAGACGCTCATAGGAAATCATGCTGATTTCGGAGACTGAAACCGGGCAGCACTCACAAATAAAACATTTCATCGCTTTCCAATGCGTTGCATTTCATATTAAAACACCAATCACGATAATGTTCGCTGTCAGCGGGCGTTTGGCAAATGTGAGGGCAAGCAGCGATAGGACTTCGTTTGCTCTACGAAATATGTGGTTCACATCATCAACGAAAAGTGGTACTTTCCTGTGTACTCTCAATGAACGGCTCAGTTGTGGCCCAATCATGAATCACACAGTCCGGGCTTGAAAGAGCCATCAATGCATATTGCATAACGATAATACGAGTCTTCTAAATATTGTATTGTATTGTATTATATTGTATTGTAGTGATTCTATACATTAAGAGTAACATGAAAGACTATCGTCTTCTTTCAGCTGCGTCCTTGTGAATGAATAGAGTTTTATTTTGCTACACATAGTCACATTTGTATGATCATTTCCTGCGGGCGCCTGGCCGAGTACCGCTCCATTATTGATGCAGATAATCAACTAAATACAACAGCACCATCACGGCCAAAGATAGCGCTGGCAGATCCGCTGCCTACTCAGCAGGGCCACTGCGGGGCTATTACGGCCCTTCAGCCGCGTCCCGCCGGCCGGCAGTGTGTATTGTCACCGAGCACATCCCGCAAATGGCCTGCCGGGCCGCGCGCGCGCCACGCCGAATCAAATGTCTTCCGCGGCGGCTCGGTGTCGGTTTCCGGCGCGTCCGGTGGCCAGTGCCATCGAGGACCGTCCGGAGCGGCGGCGGCGGCGGCGGCGGCGGCGGCGGCGCTGTGTCGGCGGCCATCAGCGGCGGCGCCGCCGGACCCGCGCCGGCCGGCGCGGCCTTTCCGGCGCCGCTGAGAGGGACAGAGCGGCGGCAGAGGAGGGAGAGAGAGAGGGAGAAAATATCGGAAATGGGGTTGCCGAACAGCGCATCGACCCGGAAACCGATGCCCGAGAGTTGGAGCCGGCTGATTCCCAAGTGCCAAAGTGAAGGGACCGGGGCGAAGCTAGCAGTCAGCACAGCCATCGGTCCCACCCATTAAAATCAACGTTCTTCAATGGGGGGGGGGGGATAAAGCAGAGACAGTTGCTAGCCGCTTTTGTCACCACGATTCTTGTTTTAGAAACGCGAATGCTAACTGTTTAGTAGTGCGCCAGCATCAAGCATTTAGCATGTTCAGTGCTCAGAACTTCTCAGAGGGAAAAAGTAATCTAACCCTTTGAATGTGTTCTATTTTCACCTTTCCAGCTACCTAAGATAGCGCCCTGCATTATGTAGATAGGGCTTCTAAGATAGCCCTTCGTAGTCTGGACTGACCACTTTTGAGATTTTGCCGATTTTTTTTTTACTGATGTTTGCACTCTTTGAGAGCTGATCTGATGGTCCCCGTCTATTCGTCTCTGAACGAACAGGTGTGTGCCGAGCAGTGTGTGGCTATGGCTCTGCTGTGATGGATGTCAAAGGCAACAAATCAAGCGCACCGGGTCTGGCTGGAGATCTTTCTGATATCTGGGGGCGGGGTGTGGGTCATATTGCAGAGACTTATATTTGAGGGAACTGCATTACCCTATAATGATCATTCATAAGCCAGTAAAAAAGATCCTTCTTCCTAAGGTCGTGTTCTGAGCGTCCGATGCTGGTCCGCAATACAGGTCCATACTCCATATGATCCCTATTCCCTGCCCTGAAGGCTGAAGCGCACCGCGCATGACATAACGCCACTATGCACTATATGCATTGCATTTGCACACAGGCACTGCACAGTTAGGGCGACGCTTTCGTTTTGCTCACAGGTACAAGAAGGAGCCATAAAAAAGCAGAGTTTATCGATGTCGGACTAACTGCAGCACTATCACCACACGTCATGGAGTCTATCCTGGGAAAGTGCCGAGTGCCTTGGATGATCTAGGAGGCAAGATAATCTAGGATCAGAAAGAGAGCAAATGCCACAATTGCCATGTGAAACATGGGCGACAATACGGCAGCCGGGCAAGTAAACAAAATTTGGTGCTGATTGAGCGCCAGGTCAGGTCAGGCTGATAACACGTAATCGATCACCATCTTGAATATTTCGCTCCTTTGGTACGCAAGCAATTTAACCGTTTAACCCGCGCCCCAGTGGCGGTCTCAGCCAACTTCGCCCTAGTGGGGGCGGGGGGGGGGGGCATATGTTACCACCCACCTCTAACTCAAAAACTAAGAGGGATAGAAAGACGCGGTAAAAAGCAGTCGATAGCTCTCAATGCGTACGTTTGAAATTATTTCAGTCATTTTTCATCTTAGAGCAATATTGGGGTCACCAGAGGTCATCAAAGGTCAAAATTTGCCAATGGTCATTATATTTTTCAGAAAACATGCCGTTATCTCAGGAACTATGGTAGCTAGAAAAACGCATGGAAAAGCAATCGATAGCTTTTGAACTCTTCTTTTGATATAGTCATAATCAAAATTGACCTCAGGTCAACGGTTTAGCCTCCAGAGGGCAAAAACTCCAAAAATAGCTGTTTTTACGAAAAGTGTTTTTTCGACAATAACTTTCGACTACGAAGAGCCAGGACATTTCTATTGCCAGAATCGTGTTCCTCTCGCCGAGACGCGTCGAATGAACTATAATTTGACCTTGAAAGGTCAACTTGAAAATTTGACCTCAGGTCAAGGTCATGACCTGACCGGAAAAGGTCATGTTGCATATCAGTCGATGCGTCTCGGCAAGACAAACACAATGAGACCAGCCCCAGCGTTCTATCTCTTTCCAATCGCGAGTTATTGACAAAAATCTGTTTGTAGCCTCAAATGACCTCGGATGACCTTTCTAGAGGCTATCAGCAAAAATGACACCTTGGTCATCACG